TCAAGACATGTCCCATGGTTGTTAGGCCCATACTGGGGTATGCGACCAGTCGGCCCCCAAACCCCGGTAAAAAACACGTCAAGAGTTGAGAAATAAAAAGGTTTGCAACAAGGTTTGTCCCGAGTCAAGGGAATGTTCGGGGAAAAGGTTTAAAGGGGAAATGGGGGATGCGAACTGGAGGACAAAAGGGTCAGAGGAAATGATAAGGGACATACAAGTTTACTGCGGGGAAAATAAAAAAGGTGGACAGGATGGATGTTCCAGAGGGGGGACCAAAGGGAAAAGGGGGTCACAAGGAAAGCTGAAGACTAGACGAGTCACGGGGGACGTTGGGAAAAAGTATTTCTTCAGTTAGAGTTGTCAGAAGGTGGAATACCCTAGAAGGAAGTAGTGGAGGCAGGCCCATACTATTTTTAAGAAGAGGTAATGAAAAAAGCCGGGAAGAGAGAGAGAGAGGATCCAGTAGCGATAGTGAAGAGGCGAGGCCGGGAGCTGAGTCTCGACCCCTGCAACCAAATTAGGTGAGTACAATTAGGGGGTACCCCACACACAAACCTACACCCCACAACACACAACACACACACACCCCAAAACACACACACAACACCAAAAATACACCACACATACACACAACAAGGACGAACAAAATCAGAACGACAGAGCTGAGGGGGGAAAAAAAAAGCAAAAGGGTGGAAAAAGGGGAAAAGGAGGGAACCAGCAGGGTCAGTGAGGGAACAGAAAAGCAAGGGCAAGCACAACACAATTTACCTCAAAACCATAAACCTTCACACTCCCAACACACATAGTCCTTTCCCACCCCTCCCCCCAAACCGGCTTTGAATCCCACGTTGCCCCGGGTTCCCCCCTCACGGCCCCCCCAAACCCTTTTGGGAAAAAGGAAACTGAAGGTTTTGGTACACAAACGCTGATGGAATAAAAATAAGTGGGAGGAGGTGGCACGAAAGAGTCAAAAAAGGGATCACCCGGACATTATCTCCACAGAAACCAAGCTTACAGGTATGAAACAGAGCCATCTTTTTAACGGGATCCAAATCCTGAGGAAGAAGGGGAACAGGGGGGGTGGAGGAGTGGCATTGCTGAAACAAAAATCGCTGGAATTTTGATGAGCTGGGGAGAGGAGATGCGGAGAAGAAAGTGATTAAAAGTGGGAAACTTTTACTCTGGAGGTCCCCGGTGGGAATAGCAGTGATGTATAACCCCCCAAGAACAGCAGGAGGCCCGGAAAAAGTCGCGAGAGCAAAAGAGCGATGGTTGAAAAACTGGTAGATGGCCAGAAGAGTCATGCATGCAGGGCAAAGCTCCCGATCATGGGTGACTTTAACACAAGGAGATCGATTGGAGAACTTGGACCCCCAAAGGGGGCCCAAAATACATGGAGGGCTAAGTGATGGAGGTGGTCTGGAGAACTTCATGTACCAACAGTAAGGGACATACAAGAGAGAGGGGGAGGATGAACCCGCAAAGGCTGGACTTGTATTCACTTCGTAGTGCGATATCGAGGACCACATTGAAGACCCTTGGGGCCAGGCATGTGGTTTTAAGCTTCGAATACACAGTAGAGCTACAAGTGGGGGAGAAGCAGGAAGGCCAGGCGAATGAAGCCAAACTACAAGAAAGGGGACTAAAAGGAATGAGGAACTACCTGAACGGGGGGGCAGTGGGACAGAGAAAATGGCAGGGAAAAGTTAATGGATGATGGAATAGTGCAACAAAATGCAAGGAGGCTGAGGAGAGGTTTGTACCAAGGGTAACAGGAGTAATGAAAAAACCAGGATGAGCCCATGGTTTACCCAAAGGTGCAGGGAGGAAAAAAACCAGTGTGCTAGGGAATGGAAGAAATGTAGAAGGCAAAGGACCCAGGAGAATAAGGAGAACAGTCGTAGAGCCAGAAACGAATATGCACAGATAAAAAGGGAGGCCCAAAGACAATATGAAAATGACATAGCAGCGAAAGCCAAATCTGACCCGAAACTGTTGTACAGCCACATCAGGAGGAAAACAACAGTCAAGGACCAGGTAATCAGGCTAAGGAAGGAAGGGGGAGAGACAACGGGAAAGGGACCGTGAAGTATGTGAAGAACTCAAAAAGAGATTCAAAGAAGTGTTCACAGAGGAGACAGAAGGGGACTCCGGGAAGACGGAGAGGTGGGGCACACCACCAAGCTGGACACAGTGCACAAAACCGAGGAAGAAGTGAAGAGGCTTCTGAGTGAGCTAGATACCTCAAAGGAAATGGGGCCAGATAACATCTCCCCATGGGTTTTTGAGGAGGGAGCAGAGGCGCTATGTGTACCCTAAACAACAATATTCAATACATCTATCGAAACAGGGAGATTGCCTGAGGGATGGAAGACGCAAATGTAGTCCCCAAACTTAAAAAAGGAGGGCAGACATGAAGCATTAAACTACAGACCCGTGTCATGACATGTATAGTATGCAAAATCATGGAGAAGATTATCAGGGAGAAGAGTGGGGGGAACACCTAGAAAAGGAAAAGATCTCATCAACAGCAGCCAGCATGGTTTCAGGGGCGGGAAATCCTGTGTCACAAACCTATGGAAGTTCTATGACATGGTGACAGCAGTAAGGGGCAAGAGAGAGAGGGGGTGGGTGGGATTGCTTTTCTTGGACTGCAAGAAGGCGTTTGACACAGTTCCACACAAGAGATTGGTGCAAAAAATGGAGGACCAAGCAGGGATAACAGGGAAGGCACTACAATGGATCAGGAATACTTGTCAGGAAGGGCAGCAGCGGAGTCATGGTTTCGTGGCGAGGTGTCAGAGTGGGCACCTGTGACCAGCGGGGTCCCCCAGGGGTCAGTCTAGGACAGTGCTGTTTCTGGTATTTGTGAACGACATGACGGAAGGAATAGACTCTGAGGTGTCCCTGTTTGCAGATGACGTGAAGTTGATGAGAAGAAACACTCGATCGAAGACCAGGCAGAACTACAAAGGGATCTGGACAGGCTGCAGACCTGGTCCAGCAATTGGCCTGGAGTTAAATCCACCAAGTGCAAAGTCATAAAGTTTGGGGGGAAGGGCAAAGAAGGCCGCAGACGGAGTACAGTCTAGGGGGGTCAGAGATTTACAAACCTCACTCAAGGAAAAAGATCTTGGGGTGATTTAACACCAGGACATCTCCTGAAGCGCACATCAACCAAATAACTGCTGCAGCATATGGGCGCCTAGCAAACCTCAGAACAGCATTCCGAAAATCTTAATAAGGAATCGTTCAGGACCCTGTACAGTATACGTTAGGGCCCATATTGGAGTATGCGGCCCCCGTTTGGAACCCACACCTAGCCAAGCACGTAAAGAAACTAGAGAAAGTGCAAAGGTTTGCAACAAGACTAGTCCCAGAGCAAAGAGGTATGTCCTACGAGGAGAGGTTAAGGGAAATCAACCTGAGGGACACTGGAGGACAGGAGAGATAGGGGGGGACATGATAACGACATACAAAATACTGAGAGGAATTGACAAGGTGGACAAAGACAGGAGGGTTCCAGAGATTGGACACAGTAACAAGGGGACACAGTTGGAAGCTGAAGACACAGATGAATCACAGGGATGTTAGGAAGTATTTCTTCAGCCACGAGTAGTCAGTAAGGGGAAATATTTTGGGGAAAGCGATGTAGTGGAGGCAGGATCCATACATAGCTTTAAGCAGAGGTATGATAAAAGCTCACGGCTCAGGGAGAGTGACCTAGTAGCGATCAGTGAAGAGGCGGGCTAGGAGCTCGGAATCGACCCCCGCAACTCAACTAGGTGGTAAACTAGGTGAGTACACCCCACACACACACACACACACATTTCACAACATACACACAACACACACACACACAATACACAACACACACACACACATGCACACACCACAACACACACACACACACACACACACAAACACACCACACTACACATACACACACATACACACCCCCACACATACACACATACACACACACACATACACACATAAAACACACCACATACATATATATATTATATATATATATAATATAATATATATATATATATATATATATATAATATATATATATATATTTTTATATATATTTATATATATATTATATATACAAGACAAGCCACTGGGGGTGGAAATCTTTAGCTAAAGTACTTTCACACTTCTCAGTGCGTCATCAGGAGCTGTGCAATGTTGCAAAGGCAGCAGCAAGAGAAGTAGGGTAAGTTTGCAGAGTATGGTAGTGAGAATGGTAGTTTGTAGGCACCAGCCAGACTCTAAGAGACAAACGGGATGCCAACCTCCCCCCCTCCCCCAACCCCATATGGGGTCGGGTGGAGTAGGCCTCACAGTTTGTAGATACCAAGAAGACAATTACTAGAAGATAGTTAATAGCCAGCCCTAAGCTTCTAACCGCTGGGAACAGGACAAGTGACGTAAAAAATTATATTAAAATAGTGGATCATTACATACCTTCATTTACAACCTTCTGACTAATGAAATAGAGGGAAAATCCCTCATTTGTCAACCAGTGTCGCAGAACCTTCCTGAATATTCAGAAAATACCCTACTTCTCTTGTTGCTGCCTTTTGCAACATTGCACAGCTCCTGATGACGCACTAAGAAATATGAAAGTACTTGAGATAAAGGTTTCCACCCCCAGTGGCTTGTCTTGCATTGTTAACAATATATATATATATATTTATATATATATATATATATTATATATATATATATATATATATATATATATATATATATATATATATATATATATTTGGGTGATGCTGGCCCAGTGGTACAACGAAGTACTGTTATTTAACACACTCCGGTTAGAATCTCCGAGAGACCTACATACATGTATTTATATTCATTTAGTGAGGAAGCTTATATTAAGTAAACAAGAGTAACTATGTGAATAAGATGGATGGTAGGAATATTTAAAAACATACATCAACGTATTGATTATGACGCATAATCTAGTTGTCTATCTACAGAAATGGAAGCGTACTAAAGAGAAGTCTGTGATGTCGGTGTTCCACATAGCTAAACGGAAAGCTCCCTTCGACAAGTGGGAACCCATATATGTGGGCACCAACGCTGAGCCCTTGTACGACGAACGCCTCTCCTGGGAGGGCAAGGGAGACAAGATGACACAGGTGGGTGCACCGTGCACCAGCTGATGTTAATAACTTCCCAACGGATGTTGTGATTCAACTCTTTTAAAATTACATCCTTTCTAAAATTTTCTCTTATACCTTTAAAGATATTTTTTTTATTTATGTTAATGTAAAAATTAATAATTTTGTACCAAAAGAACCTTGAAAAACTTACCTAACCTTATTATAACAAGCACAATTTAATTTAGCCTAATCCAGCTAAATATATTTTACATAAGTTTACAATAATTTAATAAACGAACACAATGAAATATATTTTTTCGTTAGGTTCAGAATGATTTTTGCGAAATTATTGCATACAGAAATTTTAGCTTACTTTATTCGGCAAGAAGACCGTTGCTAGTTAAGCCAAAACCGCAAGTTTTACGTATTCGGCACGACATATGTATGTATGTATGTATGTATGTATGTATGCATGTATATATATATATATATATTATATATATATATATATTTATATATATATATATATTTATATTATATATATATATATATATATATATATATATATATATTATATATATATTCAAACATTATCTCTCAGTCCACAATAGGATTCGAACCTGCACACTATCAAAGTATACAGTAGTTTCGCCACTTTGATATTGAATGTGCGGGTTCGAATCCTGCGGTGGACTGCAAGATAATGTTTGATAAAATTTCGGCCGTTTGCCAACTGTTAAGCATGTGTGCGCGTATGTGTGTGTGTGTACTCACCTATTTGTACTCACCTATTTGTGGTTGCAGAGGTCGATTCACAGCTCCTGGCCCCGCCTCTTCGCTGATTGCTACTAGGTCTTCTCTCTCCCTGCCCCATGAGCTCTATCATACCTCGCCTTAAAACTATATATGGTTCCTGCCTCCACCACATCCCTTTCTAGGCTATTCCATGGCCTGACTACTCTATGACTGAAGAAATACTTCCTAACATCCCTTTGATTCATCTGAGTCTTCAACTTCCAATTGTGACCTCTTGTGTCTGTGTCCCATCTCTGGAACATCCCGTCTTTGTCCACCTCGTCTATTCCGCGCAGTATTTTATATGTCGTTATCATGTCTCCCCTGACCCTCCTGGCCTCCAGTGTCGTCAGGCCGATTTCCCTCAACCTTTCTTCATAGGACAATCCCCGTAGCTCTGGGACTAGTCTTGTTGCAAACCTTTGCACTTTCTCTAATTTCTTGACGTGTTTGACTAGGTGTGGATTCCAAACTGGTGTTTTGCGTGTTTTTGGGTTGTTTTGTGTGTGTGTGTGTTGGTGTGTGTTGTTTGGGGTGTGTATCCCCTAATTTTGGTTGAGGGGTCGAACTCAGCTTTTTGGTGTTGTATGTTGTGTGTGTGTGTGTGTGTTGTGTTGTGTGTTGTGTGTGTTTTTTACCCATTACTAATTTTGGTGTATACACAGAGCACATACTGTGCGCCTGGACTAAAATTCACATCCTGGACAACGCCTTCCTTAAACCCGGCCGGCATAAAGAACACTCGAAGGAAAAGCCAGAGACGACTTATCCAGCAAAAAACCGCATTCATCAAAACATATTTTCCCAGAGTACAAGAAACTTTATAAAAACAAAGGAAAAATGTGCCATGTAACCAAAATGATATAATAAATTTTTTTACTTCATTTTAAAGGGTATTAAGGAACTTGACACTTTTTTATAATTTCGTGTTTTTAAAATAAAAAATTTACTAAAGAAATAAAGCAGTTTTTACTTTAAAACCCACGACTCAGCTAGAACTTTTCTGCTTAGTTGTTTCCGGGTGTGTTGGTTCACTTCCTCTTTCAGACTACGCGCATCACGAGTCGTTATACTTACATCAAAAACTCATAAGCACATATCCTCCTTTTTAAACCCTTTAATAAAAACGATTTATATAATCCAGAAACAAAAGACCAAAATTAAAAAACCAAAAATATAAAAATTTAATATATAAAATATATATATATTTATATAAAAAATTATAAATTTTTATATATATATATAATTTAAAATTTTATATATATATAATTTTTTTTATTTATTTATTTTTACACACTGGCCGATTCCCCCCAAGGCAAAGGGGGGGCCCAAAAAGAAAAACTTTCACCATCATTCACCCATCATTTTCTTGCCCGAAGGGTGCTTTACACTACAGTTGAAAAATGCAACATTAACACCCCTCCTTTAGAGTGCAGGCACTGTATTTCCCACTCCAGGACTCAAGTCCGGGCCCGCCGGTTTCCCTGAACCCCTTTAAATGTTACTTTGTCACACTCCAACAGCACTCAAGTTTAAAAAACCCTTTGTCTCCATTCCTCCTATCAAACACGCTCACGCTGCCTGGGAAGTCCAACCCCCCGCACACAAAACCTCCTTTACCCTCTCCCCCAACCTTTCCAGGCCGACCCCTACCCCCCCTTTCCCTTCCACTACAGACTGAACACTCTTGAAGTTTTCTTTTTTCGTCCATTTCTCCACATGTCCGAACCACCCAACAACCCTTCCTCGCCCTCTGGACAACAGTTTTGGTAACCCCGCACCCCCTAACTTCCAAATAAAAAATTTTCTCTGCTTTATTCACACCCACATTGCCTCAGAATGACATTCCCTGCCCCAGCCTTCCCCCTCGCTGCAACATTCACACCCATCTTCACACCCATATAAGAGCTTTGGGTAAAATATACTCTCAACTTTCCCCCTCTTTGCCCCCAAAGAAAAAGTTTTTTGTCCCAGAGACTCCTAATGCACCACTCACCCTTTTCCCCCTCATCAATTCTATGATTCACCCATCTTTCATAACCCATCCGCTAACTCCATCCCAAATATCTGAATACATTCACCTCGCCATACTCTCTCCCTCCAATTGATATCCATCTTTCTCACCATTTATATAAAACTGATTTATATAATCCAGACAAAAAAAAGACCAAATTAAAAAACCTATATAAAATTTTATATAAATATTTTAATATATTTAAAAATATTATATATATATATAATTTAAAAATATATATTATATATATAAAATATATATATATATATATATATATATAATATCATTTTTAAAATTTTATAATCATTGTTATTATTTAAAATCAAAACAAAGGTAAAACCCATCACGGGGTGTGATACAAAAGTCAATGCTTTCCTCTTCACTTATTTGGGAATATATGTTAGAGATAAAGTGGGCAACTTGAACATTCAACCCCACCTAGGAGGGACACCAAAGTAAAGGCCTAATTTTGGTTTACCTCCAATAGGCCATATTTAAAAAAAAAATTTACTGCGACTAATTTTGAGAGTAGAAGTAATTTAGGGTTTTATTTCGTAAATTTTTAATTTTAAACTCTATGAAGAAGAGTCAGATAAAGTAGGCAAGAAGAGCTGTGGGTCGCAATAACTGCGCAGCTCCGCCTCCACCAAGCTATTATATACACTCGGAATGAGGCGACCAGCAATATACACTCACAAGTGATTTATATACTCACGTTGTACTGGTACCCACACAAGTCATACTGAGTGTGCACTGGTACCCACACGTCACACTGAGTGTGTACTGGTACCCACACAAGTCATACTGAGTGTGTACTGATACCCACACGTCATACTGAGTGTGCACTGGTACCCACACGTCAAACTGAGTGTGCACTGGTACCCACACGTCACACTGAGAGTGTACTGGTACCCACACAAGTCATACTGAGTGTGTACTGATACCCACACGTCATACTGAGTGTGCACTGGTACCCACACGTCACACTGAGTGTGCACTGGTACCCACACGTCACACTGAGTGTGTACTGGTACCCACACAAGTCATACTGAGTGTGTACTGATACCCACACGTCATACTGAGTGTGCACTGGTACCCACACGTCACACTTAGTGTGCACTGGTACCCACACGTCACACTGAGTGTGTACTGGTACCCACACAAGTCATACTGAGTGTGTACTGATACCCACACGTCATACTGAGTGTTTACTGGTACCCATTCGTCACACTTAGTGTGCACTGGTACCCACACGTCACACTGAGTGTGTACTGGTACCCACACAAGTCATACTGTGTACTGGTACCCACACAAGTCATACTGAGTGTGTACTGGTACCCACACAAGTCATACTGAGTGTGTACTGGTACCCAAACGTCATACTGAGTGTGTACTGGTGCCCACACAAGTCATACTGAGTGTGTACTGGTACCCACACAAGTCATACTGAGTGTGTACTGGTACCCACACAAGTCATACTGAGTGTGTACTGGTACCCACACAAGTCATACTGAGTGTGTACTGGTACCCACACAAGTCATACTGAGTGTGTACTGGTACCCAAACATCATACTGAGTGTGTACTGGTACCCACACAAGTCATACTGAGTGTGTACTGGTACCCACACAAGTCATACTGAGTGTGTATTGGTACCCACACAAGCCATGCTGAGTGTGTACAGGTACCCACACAAGTCATACTGAGTGTGTACTGATACCCACACAAGTTGTACTGAGTGTGTACTGGTACCCACACAAGTCATACTGTGTGTGTACTGGTACTCATACAAGTCATACTGAGTGAGTACTGGTGCCCACACGTCATACTGAGTGTGTACTGGTACCCACACAAGTCATACTGAGTGTGTACTGGTACCCACACAAGTCATACTAAGTACTGGTACCCACACAAGTCATAATGTGTACTGGTACCCACGCAAGTCATACTGTGTGTGTACTGGTACCCACACAAGTCATACTGTGTATGTACTGATACCCACGCAAGTTATACTGTGTTCTGGTACCCACACAAGTCATACTGAGTGTGTACTGGTACCCACACAAGTCATACTAAGTACTGGTACCCACACAAGTCACACTGTGTACTGTTACCCACGCAAGTCATACTGTGTGTGTACTGGTACCCACACAAGTCATACTGTGTGTGTACTGGTACCCACACAAGTCATACTGTGTGTGTACTGGTACCCACACAAGTCATACTGTGTGTGTACTGGTACCCACACAAGTCATACTGTGTGTGTACTGGTACCCACACAAGTCATACTGTGTATGTA